GGTTGGTAGGACCCCCGGCAGGAGAGTAGTCGGCGGGGCCTCCAACGGCACAGGACAAAGGGTTGGCAGGACCCCCGGCAGGAGAGTAGTCGGCTGGACCTCCAACGGGACTGGACATGGAGCCGGCAAGACCCCCAGCAGAACCTCCATCGGCACAGGACGTAGGGTTGGCAGGACCCCCGGCAGGAGAGTAGTCGGCGGGACCCCCAACGGGACGGGACCTAGGGTTGGCAGGACCCCCGGCAGGAGAGTAGTCGGCGGGACCTCCAACGGGACTGGACATAGGATTGGCAGGACCCCCGGCAGGAGAGTAGTCGGCGGGACCCCCAACGGGACAGAACATGGAGTTGGCAGGAGCCCCAGCGGAACCTCCAACGGCACTTCAGTAGGGACTTGAGTTGGAACTGGAGAGGGAACTCGAGAGGGGATTTGAGAGGAAACTGGAGAGGGGACTCGAGAGGGAACTTGAAATGGGACTAGAGTTGGGATTTGAGAAGGGACTAGGGAAGGGACTAAAGGAGGGACTGGAGATGGGACTAGAGGAGAGAGAAAGGACTTGAGAAAGGACTTGAGAAAGGACTAGAGAAGTGACCTGAGCAGGGACTAGAGGAGGAACTAGAGACGGGAACTCGAGAGGGGACTTGAGAGGGGACTCGAGGAGGGACTAGAGGAGGGACTAGAGGAGGGAACTGGAGAGGGGACTCGAGAGGGGTGACTTGAGAGGAGACTCGAGAGGGGACGTGAGAGGGAACTTGAGATGGGACTGGAGAGGGGACTCGACAGGGGACTCGAGAGGGGACTCGAGAGGGGACTGGAGAGGAGACTGGAGAGGGAACTGGAGAGGAGACTGGAGAAGTGACCTGAGGAGGGACTAGGGGGGGAACTCGAGAAGAGACTAGAGAGGGGACCAGAGATGGGACTATGGCAGCTGGGGCAAGAGCTGGGTCTGGAACCATGGCTGCGGGGGCCGGAATTGAAGCCAGAATCATGGCTGTAAGGTCCGGTTCTGGAGTCGGAAACATGGCTGTAAGGTCCGGTTCTGGAGCCGGAAACATGGCTGTAAGGTCCGGTTCTGGAGCCGAATCCATGGCTGCTGGGGCCAGAACTGGGTCTGGAACCATGGCTGTGTGGGCCGGTTCTGTAGCCGGAACCATGGCTGCTCGGGCTGCTAGCCTGGCCTTGCGACGACTCCTCTTAGCAGCCGCCTGAATACTCCGTGGACCTCCATAAGCCAGAGTTCCAGGAACTTTGGGAAAAAGCAGAGGTTGACTCCAGACGGAACACACCGAGACGTATGGTGTCAGGTTGGGAATTGGGAGGCAGGGGGCTAGCATGCCTGGAGCTAGCAGGCCGGGAAAGAGGTTTGACCTCAAAGCTGCCCAAAAAGTCTTCCACCCACTCGGGGAGCAACTCACTCAACCAGGGCCTTGAGGTTACCTCCTGGCGTGCCGCAGAAATAACTGACTGCCTCTCTTCAGTACTGGAGGCATATCTAAAGTCATTCCTCAAGCATGTTAAATTGTACTTCACCTCGTACAAACTGTCTGCTGGGTCCATTCTTGGTCGGTTTGTTCTGTCACGGTAGAGCGAAGGAAGCAGGACCCAAATGCAGATTAAACTGATATATCTTTATTTCAAGGATAATGAAAATAGAACTTGGACAGACAGAACACTCACCGGTGAACACAGTCAACAACGAAAGACGAACCGACAAAGACAGACAGAAAAACCAGAACTTAAATACACACAAGACTAATCACACAAACAAGACACAGGTGAGGAGGAAGGAGAAAACACAGGGGCCACAGGTGAACACAATCGGGTAATCAGACACACCAGGGAAACTAACGACAGGGAACCACAGACAGATCCAAACAAGACAAAACACAACGCAGACAGAAAACCAAAAACAGATCTAGACAAGACAAAACACCACAAAGACAGATCGTGACACCCAGAGGGAATTATATACACAGATACAAATTATATAGACAATAAAAACAAATAAAAAATATAGGGAATCCCTTTCCCATGCCACCCTGTCCCTCCCCCTTCCCACCCATCTTGCCATTTCACAGAAAATCCTACCTGATGTTTGTTAGCAATCGTCTGAGTTCATCTATCTATTATATTATATATATTATTTATATTATATCATAACAATTCATCCACATCAAATACATTCATACCTTTTTTTTCCACATAACATTTATATATAAATAAATATGAGCACACATTGTCTCATCAGCAAAGAAAACCCTCCTTAAAACAACAGTCAAGTGTGCAGTCCAATATCCATACAAAGACCCAGATGCCTCAACAGGCCATATCCAAATCTGTTTTTTAAAATTTCTGAGCAAGGAACAACAACATGTTTGCATTGTCGGGCAAATGCATCTTTGATTGTAAACTGTAAGGATTTGGTGGGGGCTCTCCATCTCCAGCTGCCGTGTTTGCTCCCAGCTGGGAAACGGAATGGGGTGGTTATGTTTTAGGTGTAGTTTAAGATTTGTGGTATTGCCTGCTTTTGTCGCTACCTTTTTTAAACAAATACAACATACCGGCTCATTCAAGTCCGTAGGTTGGCCTCGTTCATTTGGCTTGAATCCAAAATACTGCCACACCGGAGATGTGTAGTTAGGTTTTGTAACCAATTCCATTTCACTTTAAATTCCCCTCGAGTAAGTCGCACGTTGTCTCCCGCTTGTCGCCATATAATTAATTTGGATGCTAAACTGCTACAGCATGCATACAGGAAATTGAACCATACACGAATAAACTATATTGAGAACATAACAAATTCAAATGGGGGAAGGACTGTGCAGTTTCAAAAAGGTAGTTATGTACAGAAATTGTGAGAGCACTTTGGAGGATTATTTGTGATCTTTATGTGAACTTCAACCTCTTGTTCCCTTACCTGTTCATATCCTCATTATCAGACAGATCATCTGTTCAATTACACTCTCACACACACACACACACACACACACACACACACACCACACACACACACACAAACACACGCACACAGTTCCCATCAGGGACTTAAAAGACAGGCATGCAGCCCAAATGAATTATTGCCACTGCAACAGGTTTAAAATATTTGACAGGTGGCACGGTGCATAATGAAAGTGAAATTTGATTAAACATTTGTCAACAAACAATGGTTTTGTCAAGCTGACATCATGCCAGGAAGGAATGGAATAGTAGAGTGATAGAACTGCAGAATAATGTTATAAAAGATGGTCATGTCAAACTTTGGTCTTCTCTTCGGATCATATCCGAAACCAGGAAGTGGTGTTGTTGGGAAGTGTGTGTATAAGGATAACAAAGGTTATTCCAGTTGAACCATTGAAAGCACGGCTGTGGAACTTTCCCAGCATGTCATTTCCTGGTTCAAGTTTCTGAGGAACATGTTTCATTTCTATTTTAACAGAAGAATTTACATTTTTGGTTTACCACACTTTCAAATTGATATGATTTTTGGCCATTTAAAAGGGCCTATATTGTAATGAAGGTTTGATTCATTTATACATTACATTTAACTTCAACTTAATGTAAATCCAAAAGTGTCTTTTGATACTTGCCATGCAGCAATTAAAAACACACAAGCAGCCTGAGATTAACAAACACAACTAAATCATGTCTTTATTTTTTGTTTGTTAGTGTAAGATTTTATTTTGGGGCGGAATTTTGGGATGCACCCAGAAAAATGTACAAAGCATCTTATCAAACACCTTATGGACCATTTAGCAGCTTTTAAGACTCCTATTATATCACAAAATACTACCTGCAGATAGAGATGCCCACTTATATCTTCCATGCTTTCTCTAAGGTCAAGAATAAACGTTTAAACTGCGCTTTGAGCACCAGGAAAGTGCTATACAATATAATGTTTTATTATTATTATTAACTCATTTTTTTACGCCTCCAAGGACATCAATCTTCAAGGTGGGATTGCCCTGCTTCACAAAACTGGTTTAGCTCGGTAAAGCACAGGGGCTGTCCTTACCCGTAAGTAAGAACATGTCATCATAATGTCTTCCTTGATGTGTGTGTGTGTGGTGTGTGTGTGTGTGTGTGTGTGTGTGGTGTGGTGTGTGTGTGTGTGTGTGTGTGTGTGTGTGTGTTGTGTGTGGTGTGTGTGTGTGTGTGTGTGTGTGTGTGTGTGTGTGTGTGTGTGTGTGTGTGTGTGTGTGTGTGTGTGTGTGTGTGTGTGTGTGTGTGTGTGTGTGTGTGTGTGTGTGTGTGTGTGTACATATATAAATGCCAGTCTTCTAGTGCCATCCCACACTTTGCTCAGGACTCAAGCTGGTTTCAGGAGATCTACTTTGCAGGTGAGCATCTGTGCAGTTGTTGATAATGGACTTTCAGATCAACTTTATTAGCATCTTACTAAAGAAACTATGCACATCTGAAAACACATCTATTTCGATTGTACCTTGGCAATTCAATAATTGCATACTTTTTTTTGTTAGGTTAGGCCTTGTAACTTATTCACCAGCACTTACTATGGTCTGATCTTGCTTGAAGTGCATATATTGTCACTTCTTGTTGGTTCCGAGTTTGAATTTTTATGGTTTTTGACTTGTAAGTCGCTTTGGATAAAAGCGTCAGCTCAGTGATAAGTAATGTAATGTTAACGGGTAGAGCTCATTTAAATTCCAATGTCTTTATTATAATTGACACTGGCTTTTGTTCATGCAGAGGATTTTTGCTTCTTAAAGAAGAATGTCAGACTGTTTTTTTTTGTCTAAATAAATGTTGACGGATATTGATCATTATGGTGTTTTGATGAATTGTTTATCAGATTTCAGTGTTGTTCTGGACTCATTCACCCCACCAGAATGCTTTCCCTTCCTGTTCCTTGCGGTGTGCTCTGGGCCAGCTGCATGACGGGTTAAGATATAAAGATTAAATAAGATATTTGTATATAAGCATATGGCTTCCTCTACATAACACATATTTACTTCTCCAGCTCCATTGCCTCAGTACTCCTTCTCCCCCGCTGTGGTAATGGTGGAGGCACGGCATTCTCCACAGAAAATGAAAATGGACCCAATCACAGGGATCAGACTCTGGGAAACTAGCAGCAGTTACATCACTGGGTCAGTCTGTCCTCCTTCTTTAACACAAATGCGAATAATAAATGCCATATTGCATGTGCAATATGAGGGATCCTATCATTTTATGGGTCGTAACTATTGAATCGATTTTTCTTGTTTAAGAAATATTAGCAGGAGGTGATGAAATGTAATAAAGTATATTAACTTAAATTCTGTTCAAATGTAAGGTACCTCGACTTTAATTAAGTATTTTCTTCATGTGCACATTATAATATTCCACTACATTTCAAAGTGAAATATTGTCCTTTTTACTTTACATTTATTTCATAGCTTTATTAACTAGTTACTGTATGGATTCAGATTTTAAGACACAAAACGAATACAGAACCTTTGAAATAATATGTATTGATGTAGATTAAACTACCCAACGTTATATTTAAGTACACCTAAAACAAGAGGTTGACAAAAAAGATTTTGGCCAGTTATTTTACTTTTTTTTTATGTCATTTTGTGTAAAAACATTTCACAGTTCCAGCTTTTCAAATGTTGAGATTTGCTGTATTTCTTTATGAATACTTACATTTATTTTTAACATATTTAAAAAAAAATCTGCAATTACTACTTTTTACTCCTTATACTTGAAATACATTTTCCTCATACTTTCATACTTTTTGTACAGCGTAGTATTATTGCTTTTATTTAGGTAACCACCACTGTTAGCACGGATAGTTGCAGTAACCTTTTCTGCAATAAGGGGAGGATCCATGGAAAGTTTAATGTGCTATGGAAGTGCAAAATGCAACCATAGGGTTAACCCCCATTGATCTGCTTTCTATTTCAATGTTTTTCTACTTGTTCTAGCACAATATCCATCTATTGGTTACCAAATAGTTTCAATCTGATCATTCTTCTGTCAAATATTGCCCTTGTATAAATCATTGTTTGTGTTTCCTCACTCCTGGCTGTGTCCTTGCAGTTTGCAGCTGCGCTATGGATTTAGTTGGGGACAAATGGTTGGTCGTGAACTGAACTCTGTACAAGAGCTGATCCTGAATGAAGGAGAGTCCTTTATTCAGGTGAGAGACTTTATAATATTAAAGTAATACATTGAACATTGACAAGACAATGCATTGTACTATTTATTGACATTTATAAACACACTTTCTAAAGATCATACACATCATCTGTAATAAAGGTTGGCTAAATATGAATAGTAGTATTTTTTTAATTAGTACTGTACTGTATTTAATAACACTATATTCATCTATCGTTAAAAAAAAATACATCATTTGTTTGCTCACTGGGGACAAACCACACGCACTAACATGTCATTGTGCTCTCACGGACATGTTTCAGGTCTCTGGGAAATACCGATCCAACTACATCTATCAGCTGATCTTCGTGACCTCCAGTGGGCGTTCTCTGATTGTCGGCCAGCCCAATACAGTAAATACCTTCCTCTACAATTTGTGTTTGTTTCAATTACACCATGATGGAAGAAGTATTCTGATCTTTAATGATCACACTTTAAAATAACTATGTAACAAGTAAATGCCCTGCATTAAATGTTATTTAAGTGAAATGAAGATTAATCTGCACTTAAACTATTAAAAGTAAATGTAAATAATGTAGAGAAACACCTCCTTGTGACTGTTATACGGTGATATATTAAATAATTAGATTATTTTTATATGCACTTAATTAAATGCAGGATATTACTGTCTCTATTCCGTCAAATGAATAGACTAATGATTTTAGCTGCATTGTGTAAACTGATGAGTCGCTAATTTATTACAAAACATCTTATTTTTAC